TTAAAACAGTCAGTAGATTGTGGTGCCCTCAGTGTGAGGAAGGGCAGTCCATAGGCACAGCACAGAAGGCCCAATCGCCCATCGTGCTGAGTTTAGTTCTGGGCGGGATGGAGGCGATTTAATTGTGAAGAGTGGAGGGGTTGTGTTGTGGTTTGAGTTGTCATCAATTATTTTAAGTAAAGAGGAGCGTTTCCATAAATGCATTAGTGGGTGAGGAGAGAAATCTTGTACTCAATCCTGGCAGAAACAGGAAGCCAGTGAAGTGACTGAAGGACAGGTGTTATGTGTTCATATTTCCAAACTATCATCAGGATCCTAGCAGCAGAGTTCTGGATGTACTGCAGCCTTAGAAGACACTTACTAGGAATCCCTATGAAGAGTGCATTGCAGTAGTCCAGCCGGGGGGAAATGAAGGCATGGACCAGCTTTTCTGCATCAGGAAGGGTGAGGGTAGGGCAAAGCTTAGCAATATTTCTGAGGTGCACAAACGAGGTCTTGCAAAGGTGCTTAATGTGATCATCAAAAGTGAAAATTGAATCCAGTTTTACACCAAGATTGGTGACTGATGAAGAGAGGGGAATATTGTGACCAGAGAAGGTAATGCTAGTTATGGATGATGACTGAATTTGATGGGGTTTTCCTACTAGGATTGCATTGGCTTTGGACCTGTTCAGATGAAAGAAGTTTTGTTCCATCCACACCTTTATCTTCTCCAGACAGTTGGTAAATGTAGATGGAGAAGATGTTGGTAGCAGTGATGATGATAATGAAGATGGAGCCACAGCTGTAGTTTTCACATATAATTGTGTGTCATTTGCATAGCAGTGGAAAGAAATTCCATGGCAACTGATGACCCCACCAAGGGGGAGTATATAAATAATGAAGAGGATGGGGCCAAGGACTGACCCCTGGGGAACCCCCCCAGGTGACTTTGTGGGACTGGGACTTTGCATTACCCCAAAAAATGTGCTCGGTTCTGTCGGTGAGGTACGACTGTTGAGGGCACTGTCAGTGAGTCCAATGGTGAGGTGCAGGCAGTCGAGAAGTATACTGTGGAGGCTTACATTAAAATGCCAGACATACAAATGAAGACAGGTCAGGTAATGGGAGTCGGGACCAGCTCAGTTCATTATGGTAGATGACTGACAGGCCACCTCCACGACCTCTGCTATGGGCTTTCTTTCTTTCCTCTTGGGTTCTTGTATTTACTGGGTTTTGGTACACCAGCTACAGTAGATTCTGCCTGCATGTTCCATAGTATATTTTTACTAATTAAAAATTCTCAAAAATAGGGCCGACCATAATTATGGTATATCACATCAGCAATCATGCCAGCTGCTGGTCTCAGGTTTAGTCCCAATAAGATCTCCACAAATCCACGATTCAAAATTGAAAAGTAAGCAAGCATGTAAAAAGTCTGAACAGGAAAGTGCAGAACACTCTCCACAGGTGTCATTGCCTCATCAGCCTCAGTGATCTGGTATCTGGTTAGATTGTGTTTTACTCCCTCTTGTGACACAATCTTGAAATGACACTAATTTTTTTCAAGGATTTTTTTACATGGATTTCCTAAAAACCAATCCTTCCTCTACCTGTCTAGGGCAGGGGTGGCCAGTCTTATCCAGAAAGGGTCATTGTGTATGTGGGGTTTCACTGTAACTCCCTAATTAGATTAGGACTGATTGGTTGAAGAGTTTTGCCTACCAGATAATCCATGGGAGGGAGGACACTTTGAGCTACTTTGGATTTTTACAAACTACTTTTATACTGAAAGGCTCCTGTGCTTGGCTGAATAGTTCAGTTCTATGTGTGCTTTGACTGGTTTGTTTCCTTGATTGAAAGACTCATTCAGCTGTTTCACATTAACATTAGTGAAACATGCATCATTATAAGAG